TTTTTTTATTTTTTTATTTAAAAAATCACTAACATAATATATTTTATTTTTAATTAAAATAAATTTAATCAATAATCTTTTTTAAATGTAAGTACTTTTTTGGTTCAAAAAGTATTTATAGACTTTATCGTTCAAAATATGAATGTTCATTGACTTTTTTCATGTTTTTTCCATTATTTTACTATATTAATTAGTTTTATAGTTGATAAGAATGTATATAATATGTTTTAGAAAGTCCAAGAAGTTGTTTAACATGTTTTAAAATGTCAAAAGACTTATTTGTTCCAAAAAAATTGTCCAAGAACTTAATCATTCCAAACACTAAAGTCCATTGAGTTTTTTTAAACTTTTCCCTATATTATAAGACAATTAATTGATAACTTTAATGATATAACGATTACAACTAACATTATTGTTAATACAATAACTAATCCGATTTTGATCTACGAACCAAAATCATTTGAACCTATATCATTTTCCATTTTGTTTGGTTGAAATGATGAATACATTTTGTTTGGTTTTGGTCTATTCATTTGAGAAACTAATGGTTGACCATGTGACATTTAGTCAAACATACATTGCTTCCAACTCCCAAATTCCATTGTACAATATAAATCTTTCCATAAATAGACATATTTGAAAGCACATGCCAATACCTATCTTCCATTAAAGGAATGAAGACAATATATCCACTAAACTAAACACACCACAACCATGACTAGTTGCTTCACTTTTCATCCATATAACCACTTTCTTTTAATAGAAAGGCCAATAAGTACTTATGCCTAATTGCAATGAATTGGGACTAAATCCTTCCATTATGGATAGGTGTAGCATTCATTGTAAGTTGTAACCTTCACTAAACTAGCAACTCTTTGCCTTTCAAATACCATCTATCTTTCAACTTCTACCATCTTAAGTAAACACAATGAATCTTGCTTCATATTTGTTCTACTTAAGTTTAAGCCACTCATTTCCATGTGTACAACTTCGTTTTTATCTTTCTAACTCCATAATTAGGATAACTGTCGTTTTCTAATTAGTTATCGTCAAAATATGTGTACATGCAATAAAGGGTACGACCTACACGAACAAACATGTTGCAGGAGGTTGTGAATGATACGAACAAAAAAGAAAGTCAATGCATTTGGGGATCATGTTGTTCGCTTACAAACGGTTTTGCCACTAAAAAGATCGATGGATCTTTCTTGATCAAATTAACATGGTTGATGATTTTAGACAAGAAGGGAACAATTTAATGAATGATGCAGACAAACACTGTTTTGTGTGATAATAAGATTCAAGGTGAGAAATGTAAGAAAATATCTGAACGAGAATAAGATTTAAGGTGAAAAGCGTAAGAAAATATATGAACCCTTGATCATTTTTAATACCTACCCTGCCCCATGAATGACGTTTGATACGAGAATTGATCCGGTGCATCTCGATGCATTTCATTACCGTTGATCTTTAATTATGATCGATCCAAGAGTGAAGATCCTTTCTTACCCTTCTCACCATAAATTTTATTCTCACTGTAACACAACCTTATGATACAATATCATAAATATA